AGTTTTTATATTCTATTAAATTCATTTTACAATCAAAATAAAGTTTAAAATGTAAAATGACAATAAAATTAATCTCTCCAACTCAATTTATTTATTTTATTATTGTATTAACTTATAAGTTTTGATTTTTAAAAGAAGTTATATAAAACAAATTTAGTGGAAAAGGTTATTAGTCGAGAGAGAATTTTGGGAGAATTATTTGTTAGTACTACTTAGTAGAGAGAGATAATTTTAGTGGGAATTAATTTTAATGAAATTATTAAGGGAACAAACTTTATAGAGAGAGAGGTTGTTAGTAGAGAGAGAGAGACGACAAGGTGAAAAAGTATTTATTTGTTTCTTAAAGAAAACTAAAATCTTGTTCCAATTTCAGCCATATGCTTCAATTTTTGCTTTCTTGATAGAGAGGAAGTAACAAACTTGGCCTGCGAATTAGAATAAAATGCACTTGCTACTCCCATATGCGGAAATTTATTCGTTTCGTCACTTTCGTGCGGTTAAATTTATTTGGTAAAATAAAGAAGCCTAAAAAATGTCCTACATCGCGCACTTAGAGAAGCAAATACCTTTTATGAAAAGCTGTCACCTAGAGTAATACAATGATTAATGTCAAATGCGTGGGCCTCATGCTGAATTGTGCTTACCCAAGTGTGAGAAATGCCTCATCCTAACTTTTCCTTACTCAGTTGGGGGTCATTGCCTACTTTAAAAAAAAAATTAAAAAAATTTCAGGCCAATGCCCACTATAAAAAAAATTCAAACAATTTCACAACTTAAAAAACACCATTTTAGGCTGGTCTAGGTGAGCCGACAGGTTCAGGGGGGGACACAACCGGATCCTAATATATTGAGAGATCTGGATAGTTGTTGACAATTTCCAATCTGTATCGAGCAATTCCAATCCGGATTGTTGAATTTTCAAACCTTGGTACAAAGTATGACATTTCGTGAGTAACACGATGTCTATTTTAAGAAAAATTGCAACTTGTTGTATAAACATGGAGATCACATTACTTATGTCAATCGCAAAAGAGGCATCATATATGGGGTCCTTTTTGTGCGTACCTTTTGTAAAAGATAAATAATCTCATTGTATACTTTCCCTATATTTTGGCATTAGAAGTTGGGGATCGAGCCATTAGAAGGGCGGGTAGAGAGAGAAAGTGAGAGAGAGGGCGAGTAGAGAGAGATGTAGAGAGAAATTGAGAGATGGGAGTAGAGAGAAAAAGTGAGAGAGAAATGTTTCCACGTGACTTGAAAAGGGCATAGGGAAGAGTGAGGAAAATGACACTTTTGTCTAAATTTTATTGACTTTTCGACGAAGGGAAATATAAGGATAAACAGTGTTAGGGTTTAATGTGTGATATAAAAAGTATTGAGAGATAAGATGTCTAAAAAGTTGATTTCAGAAAAATAGGGTATACATAATTTTCTCTAAGATTTTTTACAATAAAATAAATCAAAATTCTATAATTTTTCAGACTTGTGCAGCTTTGAAGCAAAAAAATTTTAAGGTTTGAGGGGGAAAAGCATTTGCTAGGTGATGTGCGACATAATCTTTCCAATTTATTAACAGAAGCCTCAAAGCCTAACTTAGATTGTAAAAGAAATATTTTCCCAAAAAAACTCAAATCAAGTTGCAAAAAAAATTATTTATTTATAATAACACTGGAATAATCAAATTGAATTTCTTGTAAAACATTAGAGTTACTTTCCTTGAATTTAACATCACTCATCACATGATAGTTTAAAATGCAATACTTGTAACAAACCTGTTGTATTTATATAGAATATTCCCACTTAAGTCAGTTGTGGAGTTCAAGAAAATTAGGTTTTTGTACGTTATTTGATGTACCACTTCATTTATGGTCTCTATATTACAAATGGACTTCGGATACAAAATTTCACATGTCAGTGATCTCGACCACCTTGATCATGAATATGTAAAAGAGAGAGAGAGCCACAAAATTAGTAATTTTTTTTCACTATTTACTTGCTTTTTTGCATATTATCAAACTTGCACCATTTTTGGAGTTATAAGCATATGGGCTCAAGCAAAAGTGTGTCGTTAATGGTTTAGGAAGAGTTTGATTGGAGTGCGTCTCAAGAGGCATGGATGAAAATTGAAATAATTAACTTTGGTTTTAGGGACAAAATTATGTAAGGATAAAAGACTCTTACAAAATCATTGTGGGGATTAAAACATATCAATTAGCGTTACGGGCATGTTCGATTTTGAGAAATTGCAGCTTTAGATGCTGCAACTTCTAATAGCACTTCTCGTAGCACTCGCCTGTTTGATAATTCGAAAGTGCTAGAGTGAAGAGGCAGGAACTTTCTCTACCCAGAATTAGGAAGCAGCAAGTCTGGGAAGTGGCTCCTTCATGCAATGTTTCAAAAAACTTAAAAGTGGTTCTTCCTTATTATGGACTGCAATGTGCATAATTTTTATTTTTTTTTGTATTTTTAAAACTATGATCCAGGTGACTTTTGAAGGGTTTGTGGAGCATAAGCAAAAAAATAATAATCAAGCAAAGCAAAACTGCCAAAGTAGCCTTTTTAGGTGGTATTTTGGTTATTTTTTATTTTTAAAAATATTGTTTTGTATTTTCTAGATGTGCGTGAGGCCTAGAAGAATGGATGCCTAAATTTCAGCTCATTCCAATATATATAAAAATATAAGAATCAAATATTTAGACATGTGAACTACAATTGAAAATATGTCTCATCTTCATTCATTTTTTATTCTTTCCTAGTATCAAATCGAGATAAATTTTGGAGTATGTGTGGACATTATTCATATGCCCTAATAAAAAATATAAAACAAATTAAAAAAATAAACCAAAATACCTCTTAAAAAGTGTATTTCTACAATGTATGGATGCTTATAAAAGGGTGCGGTTTCTAATATTAAATAATCCAATTAAGGCGCACCTCCAAATTTTATCAGAACATGTAATTTTGCTGTAAAAAATTATTCGAATTATCTTAAAATCTATTTTCATATCTAATTAGACAATTTTAAACTTCAAAAATAGTTAAAATCAAGGAGATCTATAAACATATGAAAATTTTGAAAATGGACAGCCTAGATAATGTGTTGCAAGATACACTATTTTTGAGACTCAAAACATTTTTTTTTTTTATATATCCATACATCTCAATGTCTAGATGATCAACTAGATGGGTTTTCAACATTAATCCGATAGATTTTTGAGGTGCATATATAATTCTACATTTTAAGGTTGCAACCTTATATAAACTTTTCCCTTTTGAATATATGTTTATATTTTATATCCGTACATGAGATTGATATGTATGGATGCCTAATTTTGTAGATCAAACATATTTAAAAATAAATAAAAATATTCTGACATGCACTTAGCCGTCAGTTTTATGGTGTACTATAATAACATTATTTTTTCCTTTTTTTTTGGTGATTTAGACCATCCATTTTGTCAGACTTATTGTGGATAACCTATACTTTTAAAATCTCCTGCATTGACCTCTCATCGATGAATATTTCAATGAATGATTAAAACTGGTCAATTTCTTAATCTCCAAGTTTATAGAATTTAAGGTTTAATCAAACAATTCCTAGACTTAGTAGAATTTCAAACAAGCTATCAAACACACTATTTGCTAGTTCATGGCATCAAAAATCTTGTTTCTAGAAGCCTAGAACTTTCAGCTTTCAAGAAACTTCTACTTTTCAATTATTAAAAATGCCTAAAGAGGTCTAATTTTTAATTTTTGTTTCACGCAAGCAACTTCTTACAAACATTTTTTAAAATAATTAAATTGCACATATTCAGGGTTGAGAATTTCAATAAGACCTTAAGAAACACCAACTAATGACGTGGGTGCCTTGCTTATATTAGGTGGCTGAAATTATGAAAATGCCCTACTTGTTCTACGTTCACAACCTTGACCAGAGGGACTTGAGCAATTTTTAGAAGGTGTGGTTTTTATAAGTTTGCACATTAAATAATCTAATCAAGGCGTACCTCCAAATTTTATCCTAATATGTAATTTTGGGTATAAAGAATTCTTAAGATTATCTAAAAATATATTTTTATATCTAAGTAATAAAATTTTAAATTTCAAAAAAGATTAAATTGAAGTAGATCTATAAACATATAAAATGGACGGTCTAGATAATGTGTTGCATTTGACTATTTCTAGGACTCGAATATTTTTTTTTTTTCATATTCATGCATGTCAATGTTGAGATTATCAATTAGAAGGTTTTTCAACATTAAAACAACATTTTCTGATTAATTTTTTAGGTGCATCTTTAATTCTATATTTTAAGCTTACAACTTTATATAAACTTTTTATTTTTTAAACATATTTTTGAGAAATTTATTAAAATATCTATAAGAGATGAGCTAGTTAGTATTTAATCAGTCTTTTGATTTACTTTCAAAATGTCCATCAAAAGACACATGGTCATGAGTTGGAATAGTCGTAAATCGATGAAATATTGAATAGTTCATCTTTTATAGGTATTTTAATAAATTTCGCAATAGTTGTTGAGAATATACTTGAGTGAAGTTTAAATTAAAAAGTAATTTATAGGGATCTTTTGACCCATTTAATATTCATTTAAGATATTTTGGCTCTTTAAATGATATTTTTTCTAAATTTTAATAGGCGCAATTTGTATAAGCCGTTAAATTTAAACAATTAAAATAAAACGTACCTCCGAATCCTATTCGAGAATGGAGTTATGATACCCATACTATAAAATTTTAAACAAAAAATAATGCAGATTGAGTAATAGGTTGAAATCTTTTTCCTCTTCCCTTCTCATACATCTTCTGGTTAATGTTAATCAATTAGATGTAGTTTATCGAAAATTTCAACAGTTAACCTGTAGGCCAAGCCACGTGGACCTCTATCCACCATATGTTCAAACACACGCGGAGGCTGCTCTCTCTGTTAATTTCAACACGTGCGGGAGCTTATCTCCCTGCTCTCTCGTATGTTACACGTGCGAGAGCTCCCTCACTTCAGTCTTTTTGAAGCTAGAGGCGATTCACCCTCTCTCTCGAGAACACTGAGTTGAGCTCTCTCGTGTATTTCATGGCGCTCTCTGCAATAAACCCTTTCTCTTCCCCCTTCAAAAGCCTAATTCACGCCCCCCATTCATGCGGAAATAACTCCCTTAACAATCTCAGACTTCTGATAAACCCCAGAGCTTCAAACCACCGTGGCTCAAGCGGCATTAAAGTTGGCGAGGGAGCTCTAGAAAAAGGAGCAAATCCTAGACAAGCTCAGAGCTATGTTACCCATGAGGATTCAGAGGATGAGGGCCTGATAGCTTCTGCCATGGCAGCTGCTTCTGTTATTCGCAAGGCTTCGAAATCCCCTGTGGAATTCATCCAGAGGACTGAGAAGCCGTCAAAGAATGAATTAATGGTTTCACCTAGTGAGGATTTTCAGAGGCTTTGTATTGAGCAGCTTGGTTTGTTCAGGAGAATCGTGGGTCGAGATGTCGTGTTGTCTGTGAGTTCGTTGATTAGGTTTTTGGTGCCATTTTTAACGTTCATTGTTGCATTTTGTTGTGTTTATTTTGCTTTTCGACAGTCCGGATCTTATTTTTCTGATGGGTTGTGTTTAATGAAGTGAATGAGTGGATTAAACACAAATAATGAGGCTGTTCTCTTTGTTTCTTTTCTACTCATGCCGTTATATTTATTGATGTTTTTTTTTTGTCTGTTAAAATTACAATATTGCACACAGGAATATGCAGCAATTGCTAAAGCATGTGGTTCATCAAAATATAGATAGAAGAAAAATGTGGAAAATTTGAATAGATATTTGGAAATTTGTGGAGTTAATAAAGGGGTTTGGAGATACGGGTCATATTTAGTTTATCAAATTATGCACCTTTCGTTTCCCATTTAAGAAAGAAACAGAAGTGAGAATTTTAAAGAGCTTCATTGTAATTTGTGTGGGTCAGTGCATTGAAATGCTTCACATATCTATAGAAATTTAAGTGTGAAATACAGAATTATAAGCACAAAATATTAAAGAATCAGAAAAGCAGAGTTGAAATGTGGGCCTTGTTAATTTATTGAAATACTGCCCGTTTTGCTCACAAATGAAGAAAGAAAGCTAGCATAAATTTTAAAGTCAGATGGAGATTTAGAACAAAAGAACTTAATACTGGAAAACTAACAAAAACATATTAAATGAATAAGAAGATTAGACAGATATTATATATGATGTTGTAAGCTTGGTTGGGGCAGACATAGACCAAAAATGCAGATTTAATTTAAGGAAAAAGTAGTCCATGTTTGTGCTATTTAACCACTTGATATGTTTAAAATACCTGCTTTTAGCTTCTAATTTCCCTTGCATTGGTTTTTCTGTGCCATTAGTTTGTACTGGAAAGGAAAGTCAAATTTGTGTGATCTTTACATCCAATTTCCTTTTCCTGAAGTAAATTGGCTATGTTTCACTTTTTTGAATCAAATGGTGATGGATTTGCATTGAAATTGATGTTTTTGTTGCATCCAACCCTGCTTATGTGATTGAGGGCAAAAATTTTTTTATTTATTCAATTTAAAGGATTTTAGTTTTAGGGTTTATTTTAGATTTTTTTAAGTTTTTTGGGATTATAGGGTTTTTTAAGTTTTCTTCATTTGCTATTCATGAGTACGGTTCATGATTATTGTTCACATGGGTATTTTTGGAATTTTGATTTTGTTTAGGGGGCATATGATATGTTTACAACCATGTTCTTTCTCTGTTATTATTAATTTCACTTGTTTAAGGTTCAGAAAAGGGTGGATTTAATTTTTCACCTTTCCTTCCTCCATCAAGTGGTATCAGAGCATGGTTCGAGGATGGTTGGAGATTGCGATGACTTGTTGTGGAGATCTTAGCCATTGGGATGCCGATCTGATCCTACTGCACAAGGAAATCAACAACTTGATGGAGATGGTTACATAGCTATTGTTGCACAAGTGGGGCCAGCAATAAAGTGCCCCAAATAAAGAGGAATCTATGGGGATAGATCCAAATTGTGAGGGTTATTGCGGAGAATGGTGTGAATAAGAGTCTGACTCAGAGTTGGAGCGGAATGATGAAGCTGCCTTCAACCACCCATTCTATGCACGCGCTTCTTGTTAGGAATCTCATGTTCGGGAGAATAAATTATGGGATTTAGTTTATCTACATGATTTAAAGGAGTACGAGGTTGATTTTGGTATAGGTCGTATCGAAAATCAGCCGGGTGTAGGTTGGGATCTGCCACCAATTTTTGATACATACTTAGATAATGAACAAGATCTTGTAAGAGATCCAATCTATCTTGATGATCAAGATTACATGGGTGAACCGATCTTTCATAAAGAAAAAGATGAAGATCTTAAAGATATCAAAGAGGTGGAACATTTAGAAGATTTAGAGCATTGAAATTAGTGTAGCACAGAAGAAGTGTGGCTGACTCAGAATCTACAAATTGTGGCCCTGGTTTAAGAAAGTAATGAAATAGATGTTGAGACTAAAGTACAAAAAATTGGGTTTGAAGTTTCCTACATGATTTCAATGGGAGCTAAAGAATAGCCAAATTTGATTAATTTGCATCGATTTCTCAATATACATATCATGATCCATTTCTTGAGAAATTTTTTTTACTATGAATAATATGTATTCCAACAAAGAAGAATAAGGTTGAAGAAGGTGGTTTTGACACTCAATTCATCTTAGCACACTTCAAATCTCGAGGACGAGTTTTCTCCAACCAGGGGAGAATGATGAAGGGCAATTTTTTATTTTATTTTATTTTTATTCAATTTTAAAGGATGTATATTTTGATTTTAGTTTTAAGGTTTATTTTAGATTGTTTAAGTATTTTGGGATTCTAGGGATTTTTATATTTTCTTTGTGGAAACGAAAAGCAATCCACAAAAAACGAGAAAGAAGAAACAAACACAAAAGAAAGAGACAATCAACCACAACGCAAAGATATATGTGGTTCGGCAACGTGCCTATGTCCACCGGAAATTAGAGCTTCTTTACTGACAATGGAGAATATGGTTACCACCTCTGTCTTCCTCACTCCTCTCCGTTTTTATCTAATTACAAAGAGATCTGTGTTTTTCCCTTAATCCTTAACTTTGGATGAACCCCCAATCGCAACGATATATATCGAGTCCCAGATAGATGGTACAAACTACTGAAATACCCTTGTACGGATATATATCAAGTTTCAGATATATCGAATCCCATGTACAGATATATCCGAATTATATTCTTTATTTGCTAATCATGAGTATTATTCATACTTCATGGTACTGTACATGGGTACTGTTCACATGTATTGTTCGCATGGCCATTTTTGGAATTTTGGTATTGTTTAGGGGTATTTTAGAGTCTTAATTGTTTACTTGGGTTAGGGGTTTTATAGGCTTATAAAAGGTTGGATGTAATATTTTGGAAGGCATATGTTATGAAAATGAATTTTATCTATGAAAGAAATAAGTTCTTCTTGTAACTTGATTTATGACCATGTTATTTGTTTATTATTACTGATTTTAATTGTTTAATGTTCAAGAAAAGGGTGGATTTTACTTCCCACCTTTTCTTCCTGCATCATTCTTTCTCTATCCTGGGTAAAGAAGGTTTAAGAATAATGATTGTGCATTGATGATTCACTCTGGAGTCTAAATTCACAAATAGAAAGATAGAGACAGATCTCAACTGTATCATTGGTTATCTGTCTTGAAACTTATGATTTATGATGCTTCTTTGGATCGATTCTATTTTTGCTTGTACGATCCCATGATTGCCTGTAAATGAAAGACAACTTTTCTAAGCTGTTTTCCGTGGTAGAGAACCCCCCTTAGAAACCTTTGCACAACGACTGTGATAGTGGTTTTGCAGTTCTTTGGCATAGATCGAAATATCTTATGCTATTCTTACTTTCAAAAAAAGTAAACGTAAGAAGATGCTCACCATTTGCATTTGTGCTTAGGTCTATGTACGGCCTGCCGGTAGCTATGTGATGGAACGATTAGAGCTACACCGAGTCATGTTGTACCCTAAGATGAACTTAGATGAAAAGGCTGACATTGTGGTCATAATTGGTACCTTTGGTCTTCCAAGTGGACTACAAACAGCTGAAGCGGCACTTTCTAATCAACAAGTAATGCTGTTATCTATCCTATCATATTTACCAAATGGAAATGTGTACCATAACCTACGGATTCTGAAAAACATTATTAGTCTGTTGGGTCATCACTGTCCTATTGATGCATGGGGGATGATGGAAAGGGAGTGTGCCCTACCACAACATGACGTGACTCCAAATGGTGGGTTTTTCTCCTTCTCCGTTACCATCCATCTATTGACTGAACTGTGATGACCCTTTGGACTATGGCTTTTAGTTTTTACTTTTTCTTAAGTTTGATTGTCCTGGTAGGTGGAAGAAATTCCAGAATGTAGAGCTTTTGTGTTGCCCATGATGAAAGATCCTTTTCTTGTGGGACTGCTTGTTGCTGAATTTCCAGTGATGGAACTGGGAACATACGTGGCGGAACATACATATGATTCACAACTATCTATCGGTTCTCCCAATGAGGAAACTGATGGCTTACCTTTGTGGACTGATGAAAACCGATTAGAGGTGGGGCCTTTTGATAAGGACTCTGTGAGAGGCTTTCATCTATTCACTGCTGAACAAATTTCAGCAGCTGTTGGAGTATCTCGTTCTTTGGCGGTGGCTTACGTCATGGATCAGGTAGTGTATAATATATTTTATTGGGTTCTGAAAGATAGGCTCTTTCATGTAAGTGTACATGTAACTTTTTTTTAGAACTATCAGTATCTTCTATGACAAACACACCTACAATTCATACTTTTAAACATTAGTTTTGAAAATTTATAAATTTTTCTTGCATGATTTTGGGGGCTCTTTTTGTACTCTTAGCCAGTGAGTCTCCAGTTTTTTCAGGCTTACTTGTATATGCACTTGGGTTGACTATTTGATTGACGAGTCTGTCAGCTTTTTAAGGGCTCCTGTGTTCGGATTCATCATAGAACCTGCTGGAATATTGTTGGGAACTTAATTTTCTACTCTTCTATTCTTGCTTGGGATTGCTTATTTCCATTTCCTTCTTTACAGAAAGCGGTGTTACTTCAGCAATCTTCTTGGCAACATAATGTTAGAATGAGCAATCTAATTGAACAAGTAAGATAACAATAAATAGCGTATAGAAATTCTTCCTGTGCATTTCCTTTGCTGAATTTTCTATTTCTATATACATTCTTTTGTATCATTTAACAGATACGTGATTCTCTTTCTAGCATCAGGATTCTTGGCAATATGTTGTCGGTTCAGTTAAAGAAGAGTGAGGTTGTAAGATTACTTTTATAGTTTCTTTCCTGGGAATCCATATTTATGATCTGTGTTTAGCGCTGCATTTCTTCTTATTTAAATTTGTGAATAATTTTCCACAGATCTCATATGATGTAGTGGAGGACATACTTGTACAAGGTGATCGTATGAAAGATACGTTAAAACAGCTCCAGGATGCTGTCTATCTCACAAAGGTTTGTATGATATAAAATATTTGACAATTGAGGCAACTATTTATTGACCTGCCATGCTCAAGGTTTGTATTCTTCAATTTCCTTTTCCAACTGTACACATCCTATAGCTCTTACTGGTTAAGATGGCTTGTAGTGAATATTTTCTCAAAGTAAGCATAGTTACATTGGGCTCTGATTTTATGGAGTGTCATCTGTAGGTTTTCCCAAGAGAATTGTCGTCTGTAGGATTATAGTAAGGTTTTAAGTTTCTTATATTAAGTGAGTTTAATGTTCTTTTGATGAGTTCTTTTAGCTTCAATTAGATTTAATACAGTTATGTAAGTTTTAAATCATGGAAAATAGAAGATACGCTTATAGAAGGTACCTCATGTAGGACCCTCTGTTGAAAAAGTCCTGTTGCCGTCTTCCCTAGCACTGTTTTTCCTCTCATCAACTCCCCAAGATTACTTTTACAATAGAATTAATGACAAAAGTGCGCGTCTTCAATGAATGAATAGAAAAATAAAACAACTTCGTGCCTATCTCTCTTCCCTGTTTTCTTCCCTCTGAGCCTCTCTTCCCTGGCTTTGGGTCAGACATTTTCTCCCATTGCTCTCTCTCTCTCTCT